ATGGCTATCCAGTTTTGCCAGCACCATTTGTTAAAAAGACTGTCTTTTCCCCATTTGATGGACTTTGGGCCCTTGTCGAAGATCAGCTGACCGTAGGTGGATGGATTTACATCTGGGTTCTCAATTCTGGATAGCAGATTTTTTACTATTGTTGTAAATGCCAAATGTCAGATAACAAGATAGTTGATAAGTGAGGAGTAGGTATAAATGCCAAGTGTGTACTGCTGTATCTGTGTTGATTAGAATTTTTTTTTTTTATCTATTATTATGTAACATTCCACTCTGAAACTTGATGGTTTAAAACAACAGTTTATTATTTCTCATAGTTTTGTGGATTGATTGGATTCAGCTAGGCTGTTCTCACTCTGTGTGTATGTGTGTGGAAAAGTGGTGGTGGGTCTCATGTGGTTGCATGGTACCTGGGGTTGGAGTCATTCTGAAGGTTTGATTAAGTTAGGTATCCAAAAAGACGTTTTCACTCATGTCTGGCACCTCAGTCAGGATAGCTGGAACAGCTGGGGCCTGGTTGGGCATCTCTCTCCACATGGCTAGCTCGGACTTCATTTTAGTATGACAGTGTCAAGACAGACTTCTTACATGATGGCTGGCTTCCCCCAGAGTTAAGGTTCCAAAAGACCCAGGTAGCAGGTACAAGGCTTCTTTTGACCTAGCCTTGGAGGTCACACAGCATCACTTCTGCTGTATTGTTATTTTGGTTTCACAGAACCAGCTCAGATTAAGAGTGGGAATGGACCCCATGAGGGTATGAGTACTGAGATGGAGGGTTCGTTGGGGAACCATCTTGGGGGACCAGCTACCGTATAGAACACAAGCTTTGGAGACAGACATGGGTTCAGATCTAAGCTCTATCATTTACTATCTCTGTGACCTTGAGTACATCACTATTTCTCTCCAAGTCTCAGTTCCTTCATTTATGGAATGGTGATAGTAGTATCTACTCCATTGGATTGTAAGCGTTAAATATGTGATGTATGAAAATCACTTAGCAAAAAGACCAGACTTAATGGTTTGACTGAGACTGGAGGGACCCCAGAAGACATGGCCCCTGGACTCTCTGTTAGCTCAAAACTAAAACCATTCCTGAGGGCAGCTCTTCAGACAAAGATTAGGCTGGACTATGGGACATAAAATGATACTCGTGAAGAGTGTGCTTCTTAGCTCAAGTAGACACATGAGACGAAGTGGGCAGCTCCTGTCTGGAGGCAAGATGAGAAGGCAGAAAGGGTCAGGAGCTCTTCGAATGGACACGGGAAATCTGGGGTGGAAAGGAAGAGTGTGCTGTCACAGTACTGGGAGAGCAACTAGGGTCACATAACAATGTATGTATAAATTCTTGTATGAGAAACTAACTTGAATTGTAAACTTTCACTTAAAGCACAGTTAAAAAAAATCACTTAGCACACTGCCTAACGTCTTTTAAGTACTCAATAAAGGGTAAGTATTACTACATTAAGAAGAGTAGTAATAATAGTGTTTAAACTAGAGGAGTTTAAAAATATTGTTTTTAAAATATCTGAATATTATGGTAATTATATTTTTTTCCTTCAGTAGTAATATTTGGAGACATTATAATTTAATCATTAAAACCATTTGTTCTGGAGCAAACTGCCTAGGTTTATACTCCAGTTTTGCTATTTAATAACCAAGTAACTCAGGCAAGTACTTAATCTGTGCTTCAGTTTTCTCATCTGTAAAATGATGATAATAATAGTAGCTACTTCATATATATATACACACACATATATACACATATATATATGAACAGTATCCAGCACCTATTAATGCTCAGTAAATGTTATTTATTATTATAGCTTTATGTCCTCAGTATCATTTAGTCTCCTAGAAATGGATAGTAACTGTGGCTAATTGCCTCCATGAACAACTGCCTCCTTTGCCATGAGACCAGAAGAACTAGATGGTGTCCCGCTATCATTACTGAATATTTCGATCAAAGATTCCATAGAAGAATCCTGATCAAAAGGAGGAAAATGTAGAACAGAGTTTCAAATTCTTATGGACTCCAGACTTCCTGGAGCCATAGAGGGTGGGTAAATGAACCCCTGAAACTATCGTCCTGAGATAATCCTTAAACCTAAACCAAAAATATCCCTTTGAGTCTTCTTAAAACCAAACATTAGTTTATTAACTAGTAAAAAAGGTCTGTCTTGGGCATTACACTCTTTTAAGAGCTATAAGGGATCAAACTGACAACAGCAACTCGAAAGATTAGATTGCAACCTTGAGGGGCAGTGAGTTGATGTTAATGGGGGAGGAACAACTCAGAAAAGGAAGGTGAGAATGGTTGTACAACTTGAAGATGAAATCAGTGTCACTAAATTGTACATGTAGAAATTGTCAAATTGGTGTATGTTTTGCTGTATATATTCTCAACAATGACAACAACACAAATAAATGGATAGTAAAGACCATAATTTTTATAAAAGGTATGAATAGGACATTGCTTTTTCATTCATTCAGTTCTTCCATCAAATACTTATTGAGCACCAACTATGTGCCAGGTGCTGTTCTAGACACTGGATATAGAGCCATGAAGAAAACAAATTTAATGAACTAGAATTTTTAGCGTTTCAGTTGTTCTCTTTGTTACAGTTTTCCAGTATCTATAAATATCGGTCTTTCCATTATGTTTGCTCTTACTTCATTTTCATACCTTACTGTTCTGACTAGAACACCTGAAACTAGGTTAAAGGAGGTAGCCATTAATTTTCAATTACATATGTATTTTAATAAAGATTTATATATATATGTATATATATATATTTTTTTTTAGGGGTATCTAACTATCAAGTTGAAGAAGATATAGGAAAGTTGAAGTCTTGTCTCACTGGTTTCCTTCAGGAATATGGATTATCTGTAATGGTGAAAGATGACTATGTCCATGAATTGTGAGTACTTGTTAGGGCATGTAAGAGAGAATATTTCCTGTTGCAAGGCTAATCTAAGTGCATGTCTCAATTCTTTCCTATAGTTGCCGATACGGAGCTGCTGAGCCACATACCATTGCTGCATTCTTGGGGGGTGAGTTCCATAGATGAAAAGACTGTGTCATCTGTTTCTATATAGCACAGTTACTACTTTAATATAAATTTTTCTTTTCTTAGCTATTTTAGTTAGGGGTGTCAGTGAAACATGATGTAAAACTTAGATTATCTCGGTAGCCTCCAAACTGGTCTCCCTGCCTTCCATCTCTCCCATCTTAAAGTCATGAAGAGTCATTAATCTTTCTAAAGGGTAACTCTGATTGTATCTCACAAACACACACACACAGACACACACTCTCTCACTCACTCTAACACAGGGACCTTAGCTTGACATGAAAGAATCTGTGTTCTGGTTCCACACAGTTTTTCTGGACTCAGTTTTATCAAGTTACTTACTTTCCCAGACATGCCCTTTGATTTCCTGCGGTATATCTTTGCTCCTCTGGACCCATTTGTCTTAAATCTCCCTATTGCCTACATGTCTGAAACCTATCTGTTCTTTAAAACCCAATTACAAAAGTTACTTATCTCTTCTATAAACTCCCTTTATCTCCTTCCTTCACCCCACTTCCCTCAAAAAGGAAAAAAAATAGTCTCCCACCTATGATCTCCTGTAGTCTGAGTTATATGCTGATGATATTTTCCTCTGAGATTATTAATATTTTGAAGGTAGATCCAGGTTTGATTAATATTCAAAGTGTTCAAAATGTAAATAAATGATTACAAACCTAAGAAAACTATATTCTAAGTAAACTCAAAGCCTGATTCTGGATAATTTATTTTAAAGTAAAACCAAGTCTCTTATGCCAAAATAGCAAAATAACCTTCCAAGTCACAGAAAAAGAAAATTTTTATTCAGATTCAGTTCAGATGCTAAGAATAGACACAACTAGAGAGAGAGGTTGGATGACTTGGGTAACTTGCCTGTCCAAACCAAAACCTGTTGCCATCAAAGCTGATTCTAACTCATAGCGACCCTATAGGACAGAGTAGAACTGCTTCATAAGGTTTCCAAGGTTGTAATCTTCATGGAAAAAGGAACCCTGGTTAAAGTGCTCGGCTGCTAACCAAAAGCTTGGCGGTTCGAACCCATCAGCCACTCTGCAGGAGAAAGATGTGGCAGTCTGCTTCTGTAAAGATTTGCAGGCTTGGAAACCCTTTGGGATAGTTCTGCTCTGTCCTGTAGGGTTGCTATGAGGTGGAATCAACTTGACCGCAGTGGGTTTGGGAATCTTTACTGAAGCGCTCTGCCACATCTTTCTCCCATGGAGCAACTAGTCGGTTTGAACTGCTGACGTTTTGGTTAGCAGCCAAGTGCTAACCACTATTCCACCAGAACTTTTTTTAACTTGCCTGTAGCAGAGAAAAAAAAAAAATTGAAATATTTTGCTTTTGTATGTTCTGTAATCATTATGCACACGCCATTATATCCCCTCACTTCCTCCAGGTCTTTGCTCAAATGTTATCTTCCCTATGAGGTCATCCCTGACTCCCCTATTTAAAACTGAGTCCCTCCTCTTGTCTTTTGTCCTCCCCCTTCCATGCTTTTTCTCCCTAGAACTTAATGTCATTTGACATGTTGTACATTTCACGTATTTGTAAATTATCTGTCCCTCACTACTAAAAAGTTTAAGATCCATGAGGGCAGGGATTTTGTTCCCTATTGTAGGTAACTAGAACTAGTGCCTAGAATCTACTATTTTAGGGAGCTAGAACTGGTGCCTAGTATCTACTATGTACCACATACTGTTCTAGGTACTACAGTATCTGGTACATAGTAGAGGCTTAAATTTTATTGAATCATTGAGTATTTGTGAAGCGTAAAGCTTCAGGTTAAAAAAGACTAACCTTTTTTATTCATAGTTTTTTTTCCTTTTGTTTTTGTTTTGAGTAGTTACAGTGGCCTGTCAGTATTTAATACAGATCCTTTCATAATTGCAAATGTTTTTAGAATACCTTTATTGTTGTTATTTGGTGCCCTTGAGTTGATTTCGACTCATAGTGACCCCATGTGACAGAGTGGAACTGCCCCATAGGATTTTCTAGGCTGTAATCTTTATAGGAGCAGATCCCCAGGTCTTTCTCCCGCAGAGCTGTTGGGTGGGTTCGAACCACCAACCCTTTGGTTAGCAGCCGAGCGCTTAACCATTGCATCACTGGGGCTCCTTAGAGTACCATTACTCTTCTTTTATTATAAAAGTAAAATAGGCACCAGGCAAAATGCAAATGCTACAGAAGGGTGTCCTTTGAGAAAAAACTGCAATCAAACCATACTACTGTTTTGCACTTTGCTTTGTTCACTTAATATAGCTTGCTAATATTTCTGTATTACCATAATTAAAAACACTTCATTCTTTTTAACTGTGTGGCATAATATTCTCCTGTTGGAATATATAGAACAAAACTTTTATTTCCTTTTAAAAAATAGTTACAAAAAATAGTTTTTCATTTTTTTTAAGTTATAGTAATATGTATATATAACATTTGCCATTTTTAGGTGTACAATTCATTGACATTATTTACATTCACCATGTTGTGTAACCGTCATTACTATCCATTTCCATATTTTTTTCCATCACCCTTAATAGAAACTCAGTACTTCTTAAGTGATAACTCCTCATTTCCCCCTAGTCCTTCATTGTAATATGTCTCAGTAAGCCATGTCTGTTTTGGAGTACTTTTAAACACTTTTCTTTTTGGAAAGGAAAAGGTTTTCTTTATAAGATTGAGTCTTTATGTGATGCTTGAAATTTACCCTTTTCAAAGATTTGCTTTTTTCCTTTTTCCTTGCAGGAGCTGCTGCTCAAGAGGTGATCAAAGTAATCACCAAACAATTTGTAATTTTTAATAACACTTACATTTATAGTGGTATGTCACAAACTTCAGCAACTTTCCAGTTGTAGAATAAGCACCCTATGTAGAATGTTAATGATTGAAACTGTAATTGTTTTCAGGCTGTGCTCCAGTCTGTAAAATTCTGCTAAGGGAGAGCTGTTAAATTGTTTTCTTAATAAACATTTTTCTCATTTGTAATGTAGTCTTGCTCTTTGAGGGAGCGGAGGGAGGCAGGGGAAGAGAAGCTGTCATTTTCCCAGAGAATAAAAACTATCCATTTCTAACTGACTTCATTAATACTGACTTGCTCTTTAAAAGTGACTTATCATAGAAATCTTCTGTCATCAGAAATAGCTTAAGATATTTTTTTCTTACAATATTAATGAATTTAAGCCATGTATAGATTTTAGCTATGGGCATTATTTGTTAAAACTGATAGAATTAAACAAGATGAATATTCAGGATATGTACCTTTATCAGAATACAAGGTAGTCCCCCTGTATGTGGCATTATTTTTACTTAGGTTTTGCCACCTACTTCTTGAAATTTTATGGGGTCTTTCCATCCATATTACAAAAAACCTTAAGTTCATTTTTAAAGAACAATCACATTGGACTGATAGCATTCAGCAGCACATCAGAGGGCAAAAAAACAAAACCTTAAGATGGAATTAGAAACAGACTGCGTGAAAATCGGGGGGAGGGGGCGGTGGCGCTAGTTTCTGATTCATTTATGGCTGAGGAACGTGTCACATAGCCTTACCACCTTAACGCCCCTAAACTGGCTGCAGCAGTCTGTGAAGCCTGTGTCTCCCAAGTGAAGACCTGTGTTAGACATGCCAAGAGGGTTCTTCACAGGGATTTGGTTTTCTTGGACCTTAACGGGCTGAACCCTTCCTTGGCTGTTCTTTCAGCAGGCACTGCCCCCTGACAGTATCTCACTTCCATCTCCCAACAGTCCCGTGAGGTGGGTTTTATTGAACTATGTGGAGGAGGCAAGGGACAGGACCATTAAGACTGGCTGGGCTTTGGCTCCACTTGAGACCTTTGGTCTAGGAGTGAAGTACACCTGGGCTGAATGCCTGAGGCTGCCGGGTGAGGTGGGGGCCTGGATGCGTGTTGGGGTTGAGGTGCCCTTTAATGAGATGCCCAACGCAAGGAGAGCTAGAGGAGGCATCAAGATCCAACGAAGAGGAAAGGTTGGGAGAGAAACATGCACGCGCGACCTTTGACCCGGATTCTCCCAACCCCTTGGGGTTCTGAAATGGAGGCCCTAAAAACCGGGGTGGTGGGATTAGGGGATTTTTACCTTCAAGTTTTTACTTTCTACCACTTAAAAACTGCATCCACACACTGCCAACCTCCGTATTCTTTGGAACAGATTCCGTGTAGGGGGCGGGACGGGCCACCGGAAGTTCCGCCCAGCGGAAGTAGCGCAGCTGGCTGTGCGGGAAACAGAGTCAGGCGTCGAGGTAGGTGGGCAGCCGGGGAGAGAGGGAAGGGGCCTGCGCGCTTCGGCTTGTGGGTAAAAGCTGTGGTCTCAGCTTTCTGCAAGCTTGGTTCCCGCCCTAGCCTCGCCACTGGCCGGGGTTCAGCTTACCAGTTGCTTCCTGTGGAAGGTGGTTTGCCGTTGGCCACCTTGCCCAGCTCTGCCCCCACAGCGGCTAAGACGCAGGACCGCCCAGCTGTTCCCTTCTTAAGTGACCCCTGTGAGGTGATCTGTTGAGCTTCAGGGAAGAAGCCTTCCTGCAGAGGCAGCAGACCCTGACCGCAGTGTCCAAAACAGCTGGTGGGAAAAAATAATTGTCACTTGCCATTTAGTCAGACATCTGGAGCCTGGAAGTTCTTGACCCTGACAGAATTTTAGAATCCTTGGGCACCTGTGTGGTTTAAAAGCTCCCAGGTGATTCTGATGTGTTGAAAGGTTGGGATCCACTGGTGAGGTCCTTTCACAAATCATGGGGGACCACGTGTTCAGAAATCGCCTGAGGGGTCAGGGCATGTTAAAAGGGCAGATTGCTGAGCCCCACCAGCTGCTGTTGAGTCGCCGGTGGTGGGGCCAGATCTGTGCATTTAACCAGCGCCTGGCCCCTCAGGAGTTCGAGAACCTTTGTCTAGAAGACCCTGAGGGACCACCTATGCTCTTCCAAAGGAGTTCTTGCAGCTCCGTAGGTGAGCCGGGCCATAGCGGGTATTACTGAAGAAATTGAGGAAACAGCGGAGTTAGTCTTCCCTCTTCGGGAAGATTATCCGTTATCAGTGTATACTAGAATGAGGCAATGAGGGTTTATGGGAAAGGGCTGCTCCGATCTACTGAGTTTGGGAGAATTAATATTGTAAAGTGAGCTAACTCCTTGTACCCACAGCATGTTTTCTCAGACCTGACTTATTTCTCAATCCGTTTAAACTATTATAACAAAATTTATTGTACATGTACTTGCATATTTACCCTTTCTCCAGATGGGGTCACTATGAGTCGAAAACGACTCCACCGCACCCAACAACAACCGTTGCTTTTCCTACTTAAGAGGAAAATTTTAGCTACGTATAATTCCAAGCTGGATATCTACTGTCAACAGTTTAGTGGTGAGATTTTTCAGCTCTAACAAAGTTTACACAGAAAAATGTTATTTCTGATATTTGGGGTGATATTTAGATTTCAAAAAGCTTTTGATGTTAACGTGTTCTAGCCCAGGTAAAAGTAATGTTCAGCTAGTTTTCTTGCTGAAATTAGAGTTTGAGTTGACAGTACTGTTTTGGGGAGTAGATTGAATGAAACCTGTAAGTGGGATAGGTTCTTCCTGTTACCTGGAACAATCTTTTTTCTTTTTTTTCTGTGAGAATACAGATAAAGATATTTGAAATCTTATTCATGACAATTTGCATCTATTCACCAAATTTCTGAAAATATTTAATAACTGCTTTATTTGGCAGATGCTTTTGTTCTTGAGGATAGACTGTAATTATTCTTATAATTTGAAATATCATTTTACAATTATCAATAACTTTAAAGTTTTAACTTGTCCTTTGCTGTGGATGTTTTTAAGCATTTAGCTAGTAAATAGATGACTTGTATTAATACTACTAGGTACTTGGCAAACGATCTTATTTTTACTGTGCAAAGTAACCATTTATTAGAAAGCAGTACAAGAAAACAGAAATAGAGAACCCAAAGGGGGAGATAAGGTAGAGTGTGTCATCAGTTTTGATTTCAAGGTATTTATATTTAAAAATTATACATTATCCTTCTTTACAAATAAAACTATATTTAAAAGCAGAATGTATTGGCTAATTAAACTTAGGGAAACAGTCCTTAACCAACCCCCCGACACATACACAAAGCAAAAGCATCCATGTAGGGTACAACAGTCTGTTTTTTTTTAACAGTCCATTTTTTATCTAGTCTTCTTTTTCCAAATGTTAATTCATTTCCTCAAAAAGAATACATATCTATATGTGGTCCCACTGCCTGTGGAGTCAGTTCTGGCTCATAGCAACCCCCGAGGGTTTCCAAGGCTGTAAATCTCTACAGAAGTAGACTGCTACATCTTTCTGCCGGTGGTTTTGAACTGCAGACCTTTTGGTTAGCAGTCAATTGCTTTAACCACTGTGCCACCAGGACTCCTTTATATATATTAGGCAGTATAACAAAGAATATAAGTGTAGGCTCTATCCTCAGATTTTCTTGGTTTCTATTCCAGCTCTGGCACTTATTAGCTGTATGAACTTGGCAAATTGTTTCACTGCTCCTCATCCACCCTCATCCTTGTAGAGCCACATAGGGTTGTTGTGGAGACTAAAAAGATAATACAGTTGATTCTCATTATTCATGGTAGTTATTTTCTATAAAGTTTTTGCAGACACTGAATTAGTGAATGCTGAACCATTGCTTCTAGGGGAAGTATAGGGTTAGGTTCCTGCAAGCCTCTTGTCACAACATTTAGTCAACTGATCAGTACTTTACCTTGTTTTATTATCATTTCTGTTTAAAGACACCTAATTTAATATATATTGTTGATTGATTAACATTGAAGTCATGGCCAACAGTACTTCAAGCTTGAACAAAGCTTATCTAACACACATATTTTCTCTGTAAGGCACATCACAGTCTTGTGCTTAGGAATCTAGACACTGCTTCAGCCCTGTGCTTGCGTACTATTTTAGATGGTGAAATCACCAGCAAAGAGCACAAAAATGTGAAAAACATGGTACTAAATAGACTGGCACTTGTTTACAGTATGAGAGCTAAAACAAGGTAGAGCGTCGACTTGTTTGACCTCAACTGGGAATGTGCTCATCAGGTGACTCAAATTTTTGGGGGCTCTGTGCATGTCCCCAAAAGCATCATGGGTATTGATTTTGGAGTTACAAATAAATTTTAGTGAGGAGGCAAATTTGCAAATAGGGACTCCACAAATAATGAGGATCAACTGTATTTATAGTGTATAGAACAGAGCCTGGCCCACCATAGGCACTAACTGAATGTTAGAAGCCATTATTATTATAAAAATTGTGAAAAATAGAAAACAGTGGAATAAAACATCCATAGAATCACCACCGACAGACAGTGTTAATGTGCTGCTGTCTTTCCAGCCACTCTTATTTTATGTTTGCCTTCACTTCATTGAGATCATATTGTAGATAAAATTTTTAGTCTTGCCCTTTTGGGTTAACATTGTAACATAGGCATTTTTTCCTTGCTATTAAACATTTCTAGTAAATGTCAATATTCTTGTAACAGTATTCTGTCCTTTGGATGTTCCATAATGTACCTAACCATTCCTCTTTTAACAGAATATTTAGGTTAAAAAATAGCAAAACTAAGAGTTTAACATTTATTATTTATTTTTTGTTTAGGAATTTTATTTTCATTTTGAAAGTGAGAATGCAAGAAAAGAATTAAATATCTCCCTAAAGGATAATTGGCTATTTTTCTTTAACTTCCTTAATTGAGTGAGTTTAATTAGTTAACTCCATTTAGTGTTGGAGTAAATGAGAATTTTAGAGTTTGTGAGTCCTGATTTGTTGATCTAAGGAGTTACTTGGGCTCACATATTTCTCTAAATAATCAGTTTAGCATTTTAAAGTAGAGCATGTGAGAGGTCATATCAGGGTTGCTAGTTATTTTTAAAATTCTTCTGACAAACGAGATATAAACAAAAATTTAAACTTAGTGGTGTGTCAAAAATAACCATGGGTTGTTGGAAACAACTTTTAGTATTAGGCTTATCTTGTGAAGAGAAATGCAGATCTAAAGTGTGTGTTTAAACTTTGGATTCATGGAGGGGTGCCCAATCTGAAGCAATGGGATGAAGATTTCTGGGAAAGAAATTAAGGAAGTGGGACCAGAAGAAGACCAGTCAGATTCTATCAATCAATCATTTGTTTGTTCAGTAAAATTTGTTGAATGTCTATAGTGCTGAAGAATGCCCACTGCATTTATGTATGTTTTCAAATTTAATTTTTTTTTAATTGTGCTTTATGTGAAAATTTACAGCTCAAGTTAATTTCTCATACAAAAATTTATACACATATTGTTTTGTGACATTAGTCGCAATCCCCACAATGTGACAGCATACTCCGCCTTTCCACCCTAGGTTCCCTGTGTCCATTCAACCAGTTCCTGTCCCTTTGTGCCTTCTCATCCTGCCTCCAGTCAGGAGCCGCCCATCTCGGCTCGTGTATCTGATTGAACTAAGAAGCACACTCCTCATGTGTATTATTTTTTGTTTTATAGTCCTGTCTAATCTTCGTCTCAAGAGTGGGCTTTGGGAATGGTTTCAGTTCTGGGTTAACACAGCGTCTGGGGCCATAGGTTCAGGGGTTCCTCCAGTCTCTGTCAGACCATTAAGGCTGGTCTTTTTATGTGAATTTGAGTTCTGCTCCACACTTTTCTCCTGCTCTGTTGTGTTCCCTGTCAGGTTAGTCATTGGTGGTAGCTAGACACCATCTAGTTCTTCAAATTTAATTCTTGTAACAACCCTACGAAGTAGAAATATTCCTATTTTACAGATGAGGAAATTGAGCCTCAGAGAACTTAAGCAACCTGCCCATTATCACACATCTAATAAATTACAGATTCACTTCCTGGTCTTTTGGCTTCAGGAATACTGTTCTTTCCCAACTGCTTTGCATTTATATTTCTAGCAGTCTCAAATATTTATTTAAATTGAGAAAACACTTTTATCTTATAGATGAAATTTAAGGAAAAAGAATACAGACAAGCATGGAATGTGAAGACACAAGGAAAATACAAGGTGAGAAATTAGTGTATAGTATCTTATTTTACACATATAACATGCACCTTTTACATTTGTTTGCCAACTGCACCCTCCCCCCACAAGGTATTTTCATAAGCATGCTATGCTAATTTTTTTTTTCTACAGCAACATGTAAAAAAAATTGGCATAGTGGTGCTTATGATAATGCCTTGCAGGGGGAGGGCACAGTTGGCAAAGAGATGTAGAAGATGTGTGTTATTTGCATAAAATATTGTATATATGGAATTAGTTTTATAATATATTTGTGGATTATACTGCAGATTATCTGACAGGATCCAGGAAACAAAAGTCATTCCAAAATTTACATGAGTATTTATTGAGCATGTACTCTGTGCCTGTCATGTAATTCCAGTGTTCAGAAAATGATATTCTATTGGGGAAATGATAGGCTGATAATTAAAATATCTTATGATAAGTGATTTAATGAAGGTACATACAAGATTTCAGAGTCGTCCTCAGAAAGATAGAAATTGAAGCCATAGGCATGAAGGAGGTTACCCAGAGAGGAAATACTGAATTAAAAGAGAAAGGATGGGGAATAGTGTTCCTAAGACACATCATCACATAATGGATTGGCTGAGGAAGAAGGCCCTCAGAAAAGACTGAGAAAAACTTTTTTTATTAAAGATGAAAGAAGAGGCAGGAGAATGGTATCTTGGAAATCAGAGTCTTAGGAGAATGCTTCATGAGGAAGAGATTGCTTAAGAGCATCAGTGTTAGATGTCACAGATAAAAGACTGAAGTATTCACTTGATTTTGCATTTAGGAGGTCACATTTGTTTTATTAGCAGTAAACTCAATAAATTTCAGTCAGATTCCAGAATATTTAGATCTAAATGGGAGATGAGGATCTGTAGACAGTATGAATAGCTTACTCTTCTTAAAAACTCTAGCGAAGATATATGGTAGTATATAGGCATTTAGTGCTATAAATTTCCTCCTAAATAATACTTCAGTAAACCAAACCAAGCCCTGATGCTGTCGAGGCGATTTGGACTCAATAGTGGCCCTACAGGCTTTCCAAGGCTGTAATCTTTTTTTTTTTTAATTTTTTTAATTGTAGTTTAGGTGAAGGTTTACAGAACAAATAATTTCTCATTAAACAATCAGTACACGTTTTATGACGTTGGTTAACCCCACGACATGTCAACACTCTCCCTTCTCGACCCTGAGGACCTTTTTTTTTTTTTTTGATACACCGTTTCAAAAATTTCTACATGTACAATTCAGTGGTATCGATTACATTCTTCCAGTTGTGCTGCTATTCTGACTATCCTTTTCCAAATTATTCCATCATCATTGTCTTCAGCTCACTGTCCCCTAGGCTTCCCATCAAACCTTTTGAGTTGCTGTTGTCAATTTGATCTCACATAGATAATTCTTTTATTTTTTAGTACTTTAGTTGAAGGTTTACAAAACAAAATAGTTTCTCATTAAACAGTCAGTACACATATTGCCCTATGACAGTGGTTAACAACCCCATGACATGTCAACACTGTCCTTTCTCAACCTTGGGTTCCCTTGGCTTTCCTGTCCCCTCCTGCCTTCTAGTTCTTGTCCCTGGACTGTTGTGCCTTATTAGTCCCTATTTGTTTTATGGGGCTGTCCAATCCCCGGCTGAACGGTGAACCTCGGGAGTGACTTCACCACTGAGCTAAAAGGGTGTTTGGGGGCCATGCTCTCTGGTTTTCTCCAGACTCTGTCAGGCCAGTAAATCTGGTCTTTTTCTGTGTATTAGAATTTTGTTCTACATCCTTCTCCAGCTCTGTCCGGAACCGTCTGTTGTCATCCCCATCAGAGCAGTCAGTGGTGGTAGCCAGGCACCATCTAGCTGTACTGGACTCAGTCTGGTGGAGGCCATGGTAGCTGTGGTCCATTAGTCCTTTGGACTAATCTTTTCCTTGTATCGTGTTCTCTTCATTCTCCCTTGCTCCTGAAGGGGTGAGACCAGTGGAGTATCTTAGATGGCTGCTCACAGGCTTTTAAGACCCCAGACGCTACTCA